AAAGGTATGGGAGTAGTTGCATGTATTGCATTATACTTATTGTCATGAACTTGCTATACCCTTTTTATATCGTGGGACTTATTGGTCCTCTTTTTTTTAAATAAAATGTTTAAAGTATATTTTTTGGGCATGTAAGACCCTTGATTTGATTTGGAGTTATTGAACCCAAGTGTTATGTTTACTTTGAACTAATATTGTTTGAAATCAAACTTTTAGGCATATAGCCCCGTTACTGATGTGGGTTTCTAAACCATAAGTGCTCTTTGTGTTTTAAATTGTTTTTTAGGCTTGGTTTGAGTACAATTGGGTTGTTATCCCTTACGCTAAATGAACCAACATCAGGTAACTCACTAGGCAATTATATTGTCTAACTTATTTTGATGTGAGTTTATATTGAAAACCACAACTTGAGTTAAGGATGTGTTTGGACTTTTAGAAGGTCACAAAATGTGTGGTGAGCTTGGATCATGATTTGATATGTTTATTGTTAACAACCTTGGTAGTTTTTAAACTTGAATTAAGTTTACTATTTTGGGACAAAAGTATTATTCCGCAAACTTAAATTCTAAATATTTTAGGAAAACGTTAACAAATGATTTTTTAAGTACAATTTAAATAGACTGTCGCGAGGAGTGTTACTAATAGAGGCATTCAAGGTGTTTGGTAAGGACTAAGATGCATACATATCAACAAAGAAGTGGATTGCATACAACAATAATTCTTATATTTAACTATATATATATATATATATATATATATCTATATATATATATATATATATATTATATATATATATTATATATATATATATATATATATATTATATATATTAAACTTGCCAGGTTCATATTGTTGGTTAAAAGTATAATCATAAATATAGAATAAATACAAACTCATTAGACAAGCACATACAACACTAACTTACGTTAAACAAAAAGTAAGATGCAAAATTATGTTTGATAGTCGTAAAGTTTTAAAGGTTCTAGAAAAATAATTTAAAATTTCACATTTAAGATCTCAAACTTGTATATAACCTAAAAAACGAGAAGGGACATGAATAAGAAAAGGCATAGATTACCTTATTTGGTTATATTTCTTTGCCATGATGTTGATTGTTGATACTTGGGTATCATTAGTCAAAAGTCCTTACTCTTATAGTCCTTAGAAGGTGGAAATGGCTAAAACAAGGTTGTAACACTAACAAGACTACAATTCAAACTTTTATACACGTCAACCTATTCAAGGAATTCGACTTTTACCAAACCACCCGCTCCTCCTAAATTAACTTTTCTCATAACGTTTCGGGATTTTCATAAAAGTATAACTAGTTTCCAAGGTTCCTCGACAACATATCTCAAATGTCTTTGGTATCATTGTCACATGCGAAAGCATAAAAGTGACATTTAAAGTTCACGTCACGTAAGCCATGATCGTATTGTCTCTAAAATGTCCATCAATCGAATCCAAATTGATTGGACATCATGCAACAAAATAAGCACAATAAATAAAAACAATACAAATACACATACAACCAAAATTTACAATTAAAGAAAAAAAAAACAACTTTTATAAAACTACTAGCCTTTTTACAACACATAATAAATCTTTTCAAACCGACTAAGCCAATTTATTTGACTTAGAAAGTTACCAAGTCAATTGTATCATATCAGATTATGCCAAGCTAATGTGTGAGTTAGTTTAAGATATCACATGACCAAGGTAGATTTTGCTAAAGCCAAAGTGTGTCTATAGTAATTGTGTTCAAACTTGATCCGGCCAAAGTCACTTGATGTTATGACTACTCATGTAGAAATTGACCAAAATAAGTTCGAACTGACATGGTCACTTTGAACTAATCATAATTGTCACGTAATAATTTATAATTGTTTAGAACCGTTTATAATTATTGTTTAACCATCATTTCATAACATTTAGACATTTTGTGGGTACTATATGTATATATACTAATCATATACCATGTTTTTGGGTCGATAAGATCTTGAACATTCCATACAAAAACATGGCTAAATGATATATGTTTTCTTTGTCTAAAAAATAAGTTGTCATTTGTTTGAACCATCCTACATACACAATTCGTTCGTGATACTCAATTATTATATAAACACATTAAACGAACACCATGCACACAAAATTTAGAGACATTGATTATCACACACCAAGTTTTTCCTCCCACTTTCAAGAAAAACATGTATATAGGGAGTAAATTTCAATAATTTGGAAAAAGAAAGCTTTCAATGTTATTTCGAATAAAGGTGAATAAAGTACGCGTAAGAAGGTGAGTCACGGGGGAAAACATGATAAAATAAGATTTTGGAAGAGCAGAAATTTGCATAATGCAGAAGTTCAGGGACTAATTTTTAAAATTTCGAAATGATTACATAAACATCGATAGAAAAAGAAGAGAGAATTGTAGAAAAAGGTTAATGGTGGGTGTCCAAGAATAATATATATTTTGGACAATAAGCCGCTTTACCACCATTTTATTCAAAAGGTGTCATTAATTTCAACCCCTTTAAAAACACAAATGCAACGGTTATCGTAATTTTATGATTTTCAACTTATTATATATAGAGATAAAAATCATTATTAGTATATTAACTTGTCTCAAAATTTATGTCATAGAGACAAAGACATTTTAAAAATAATTCCTAAACTAAAAGAAGTTCATTAAAAATATACTTTTTGTGTAGCTTCTTTTTATCTTTTATTAAAGTTAAAAAAGTAATATGTTTTTTTTAAAGAAAAGTAACATATGAATATTTGTTTGAAGTTAAAGTGGGGGAATAATAAAAAAGCAAACTCCAAAATGAACGGCGCGTAACAGACACACACATAAAATAAACTAACGGCTCACTGCATTTCTGCCGTTTTTTTATTTCGATTTATGCTAACGGTAAAAGTCAACGCCGTTAGATCAAAAAAGAGACAAAAGCATGGTGTTCTCGTGAGATTTCTTGTACCTCACGCTACACGTCACCGTTTTGCCAATTAGCTATCATATTATATTTTCAAATATGTAAAATTATTATTATTTCTTTTTTTATTATCCTTGAAAACGTGAAACGAATTCAAACCACAATTTTTTTGTTGTTACAACTCAAAAACACATAAAAACTTTCTTGTTATTTTATTGTTTTCCTTTTTTTTTCTTTTAAGATCCATTCAATGACTAATAAATATTTTTTTCCCTTCTTTTTTATTTCCATAACTTTAGGGCTATAGAGAACTAATTAGTTTATTTACATTTTTTAAAGAAATAAAATTAAATATCTTGAAGCTGCTTTTTTTTCTCTCCATCAAATTCACGTCTTTTTCTATTCATGTATGTTTTTTTCTCTTTCATCAAAAAACCCCCATTAACCATGTGTTTCCCATTTCTATCTTTGCATGTTTTTCAAATGAAAGAGAGAAAAAATATACATTCAAGGTTTCTTGTTTTCTTAGAATAGAATTTTTTATATTTGGTTCATCCTACTTTTCGCCATATTGTGTGCCTGGCGTTTTTTTGAACATTAAACAGTTTAATTGTTATTTTTATACTATTATCAGGTAACAAATTCATTAGAATTAGGGTAAATGAAATTTTTAGAAAAAAAAAACATTATATTTTAGGTATTTTCGGATTAACCATTGTTTTTTTACCCAATATATACAACTGCGACATTTTTTTCCGATCCAATAGCTTTACCTTAAACATTCGGTACAAACCGGTAAATATAATAGCCAACTTAAGTCCAAAATATAATGACTTTGATATAATTTATCTAAAACCAACTCATCAAAGAAATCGGTTGTTCAGAATGTAGGAAGTAAAAGCGGTCAGATTAAAAACAAATATTAAAATTATATGAATTTATTGAAAAAAAATCAATGATTTATCCGGAAAAAACTAAAATATAGTAATTCTTATGTGATTTGTCCTTAGAATTTTATAAAATAATCATTTCTCATTCAAATTAAAAAAATAAATTCAACACTCCAAAAGATGCTATGCTATGGTTTTGTTTTGGTAAAATCTGTTTTTATGATAAACTCATACATTCTCTAATATTTTTTAAAATCTACATTGTTGTCCCAACAAATATCATTCCAATTTTGACGACCTCATCATCGTTGACATCCGTGCATTTTGTGTATTCTATTTCATACTTTTTTCATAGAAAAACACAAATTTTCAATGAACTTTTAAAAGCACAAGACCTTTATGGTGACAAATATTTTAATGTGCTTATAGTTTTATGGTAAATTAACATTTTAATCGATTTATATACCAATAAATTTGTTGGAAATCACACTATAGAAATTGTTGTTATAGTGAGGAAGGCTATATGGATGATATTGTGCCACATTATATATGGCTCTACAACGGTGACGTATTGTGAGAGGAATTTTTCTCAACAACACCTGGGACGGATGTTAATGAAGAAATTTTAACGATTATAGCTAATCTACACTATTAACCTTTATATGATATTGTATTAAATTTTATTTGATTTTGTATCGTACTTTGAATGGTTGTTTTTATTAAACTTTGAAAAAAATATATGTAAATTTGAAAGTATTATGGTAAAGTTGGTATTATATGTTGTATATGAAGTTTCTAGTGAGTAGTTTGAGTTCTGAAATTCGTATCGAGTGAAAGTAATCATGGCTAGTGGTCAGTGATTGATGGTGTGATGAGTGAATTAATTACGGTAAAAAAAGGAAAAATGTAACGGGAGAGGTGGGTCCATTTAGTTTTTTATTAAATACTATATCATTAAAACCATTAAATAAATATTTAAAAAGTTATATTGATAGAGAAAAATATTTATTATTTACAACTTTGAAGTTGTGTAAGAAGAAAAAATATAAATATAAGAAATAACAAAATTAATGATGACAATCATTTGAAAGACTTCCCCAGTTGTATACTGCAATATACTGAGTTGTAATTTACTATTTCCATCGCTTTCCCAGGAAACTTACCATGGCCCTCGATGCGCACCCTACCCCCTCCCCCCTCCCCCACACCCTTCGGCCCTTTAAAACCCTTTCTCCACTGCTGTTCCATTCGTCGAGAATTCAGAACTCACAAGAACAACACTAAACCTCCGCCTCCGCCTCCGCCGCACAAGGCAGAAAACCACCGGGAAAGGAATAAGGAAATGCTGATATCAGTATTCCTCGCTCTTTTCCTACCATGTGCTGGCATGAGCGCCGTCTTCCTCGTCTACATTTGCTTGCTGTGTTACGCCGCCCGCCACTACCACCGGGATGATCCGGTAAAACCCGCCACCGAAAATGGCCTCTCCTCCACCCAACTCGCCAAACTGCCGACAACCATGGGGAAGGATCTGGTGTTGGGAACGGAATGCGCCGTGTGCTTGGATGACGTCGAGCCGGAGCAACTTGCTCGGATGTTTCCCGGTTGCAACCATGGATTTCATGTACAATGCGCCGATACTTGGCTCTCGAAGAACCCCGTTTGCCCTGTTTGCCGGAATAAACTCGACGCCGATTTCTTTGTTCCTCCTGAAGAAAACCCATGTTGAAAAACTCGAATTCATAACTTATTTTAGAAATTTTGATAGGCAGTTAGTTCTAGATTTGATTCTCAACATCCTCTGTTACAGCCTTATTTTTTTAATTTTTTTTTTTCTCTTCTTGAGAATGTAAGAGTAGTGATTATGATTAGTTGTTTCATTGATTATTCTAATTGAAGTTGAAGAGGATTGTTGTTGATTTTTGTAAAAATGCTAGTTTTTTTTAGAAGAAATGTGAAAAACAAGCCCGAGTTTTTTGGAATGTAGAGAGAAGAGAGAAGATCGGTGGACGGATTTACGTGGGATTGAAGCGCCGCCGGTAGTGTTTAGGGTAAAAACTGTTTCTCATTGTTGGCATATAGCTGTAAATTGGTAATGAGGTGGCATTAACTACAATGTGAGGGCAATTATGTAATTTACTCCTATTTTTTTTTCTTAAATGTAATGTAGAATGTTCGAATTTAAAAATTAAAGAAACTAAGATTTGACTAGAAATCTGACTTCGATTCGTAAGCATTTCAATTAATTCAAAAACTTATTTTTAATCAAGTTACTAAATTAAATGGTCTTCAACCAAAGCATATATTTTGATCAAATTGTATGAATGTGGTTTAATCATTGAATTTTTATTCTCTAAAAAAAGAAGAATATGTTAAAAAGCGATGTTGCACATATATTGTGAAGGTCAAGTGGTTAATAGTGTGGTTTAGTAAATTAAGTATGTAATTTATTTACATTAATGGTATATAATCTTTCTATTTATGGTGGAGCATTTTTCTAGTAAATCAATGAAAGAGTGTGGTGCAATTTGAGAAAAAAAAAAGAGACAAGAATATATAGTTAGAAGAGCGGCTATGAAATTTACGTGGAAGACACGCGCCGCCGGTGAGAATAGGGGTGCGGGTAAAGGTTTGAACTTGTTGCAGTATAGCTGTAAGGGAGAGATCGATGGTGATAGGTGGAGTGTGAAAAAGTACTAATTATTAATGACTTAACATATGGTTTGGCTCTAGAATTTTTATTGGACGAAATTGAGTTTTAATGAGTTTCAAATTTAAGTGAATTATAATCTTTTTCAACTCATATGTGATATGTGTGGTTAGCATGAAACGTACTGAAATAGTATTTTGGTTCTTTATAGTTTTATGTTTAACTAAAGTTATTATGTGTAAATAAGATCTGTTTGGGTTAGTTTTTTTTTTTTTTTTTTATCATAAAAGTGTTTATTAGTTTTATGGCTTTTTGGAAAAATAGTTTTTAAAAAGTGTTTGAGTTAGTTTTTATGATATGAAAAACTAAAAACTAATAAATTGGTTTTAAAAAATATTTGGCTTAGCTTTTTAGGAGTAAAAAACTAAGTTTTTAAAAAGTATTTTTAGGAAAAACCGAAAAGCTATGATTCTCTACCTTTTAGAAAGTGTCATATTTTGCCTATGTAAAAAGCTCTAAAAAATTGTTTTAAAAACTATTTTTAAGGACCAAATACTTTTTAAATTTATTAGATTTTCAAAAAACTAATAAGTTATTTTGAGAAACATTCCAAAACATCCGCATAGTATTTTGGTTCTTTATGTTTAGCTGAAAATTGTTTTTTTCTTGTTTTGTGTGGGACGCAGACGAGGTTCTGCTTACCAAGATCTTTTTTTTTTTTTTTTGAAAACAACTACGTTCTAGTCACATAAAAGAAAAAATCCTACTATTAATCGTTTTATCGTTTTATGTAAACTGCTCGGGGGAACCAAACTTGTCAACGTAGAAAAGTGTAGGGTTAAACATGCAAATTTTCTATAAATTACGGGAACATTTTTTTTTTAATTTTTTCATATGGATTGTTCCTGTAATAAAAATAAACAATGATATTTTCTGTAGAAAACGAGGATAATTTTTATAATTTATTTTCTATAAATTAAAAAGTTATAGATTATATTTGTCCAAATGTAAAACCTTTGATGGTGCTGTAATGTCTAACCGGCAAAACTCCAAAAATAAAAAATATTACTATTCATAATCACATTTTATTTAATATATAATATAATTAGAGATATTATGTGTACGATGCCTAGAATTTTTATATATGTATAATATAAGATCAAATGTATAGCATTATTATGTTTAATTATATATATTTGATCTGTTAAATGAATATATGTTCTAAACGAATATATAAAAAATTGGAAAATAAATTTAAAAAAAAAAACTAATTTGTAAAAACAAAAATAATAATAAACATACATAAAAACAAAAATATAAAGAAAATTCTAAAAAAATAATTTTGTAAAATATAAAAGCGTACAGATAGTTAAAGAAGTTGAAATTTTTTTTTTGGAAAAACATATTAAAAACATAGTTGTAAAAATATTAAAAAAAATACAAGAACTTTTTATTGGGTAAATTCGTAAAAATAAAACTTAAGCCAAACATATAAAAAAAGTTGGATGGGTGGATGTAAGAAACATAGTCGTAAACGATAATATAAAAAAAAATGAGTAAACCGGAAATTTTTTGTAAAACTTTGGAAGTTTAGTCTTTAAACTAAAGAAATAGAGAGAATACAACATTTTAGATGGTATATACAATGATTTTGTTGTAAGATGATTAGTCTTTAAACTTTGGAAGTTTAGTCTTTAAACTAAAGAATTAGATGATTCATTTGTAAGATAATTTACAAGAAAAAATTCTCAAAAAAACATCTCGATGATTCATTTATACAATGATTTTGTTGTTATTCACTAAAATTGTCATAAAATGAATTTTTTCTTAATTTACTTAAAAATGAATCATAAAGATGTTTTTTTGGAAATTTTTTCCTGTGAATCATCTTACAAATGAATCATCTAGTGATTCATTTATTTTGTTCGTCAAAAAAATATGTAGAAAAAAAACTTCTTACCTTCCTACCAAAAAAAATTTCTTACCGGATCTATATATATATATACAGTGCTGTAAACTCGCCGAGTTGGCCGATTACTCCTCCGAGTACTTGCTACTCGGCCCCTTACCGAGGCGAGTTACAGAATCCCGAGTACTCTCCGATCGACTCCTTACTGAATTGGGCAGTATTGTAAAAATCGATCAACTCGGTGATTAATATGTATAATATACTTAATAATTTATTATTTAACATACACACATGTGATTATTACTACATATATATCTTAAATTTTCAGTAATTATTCACAAAGTAAGACCATTATGTGCTTTTTCAGCTTTTGTGTAATCACATATATCTAATTTTGTTATATATTTCAATCAACTTATGATTTTAACTTATGATTTTTGACATATATAATTTCCCTAAAAATATTTCTACATGAATTACCGAATCTGAGTACTCCCCGAGTACTCGCTACTCGGTAGTCGGCCGAACAGGTACCGAGTAACGAGTTCTACAACCTTATATATATATATATATATTATATATATATATATATTATATATATATATTATATATCTATATATCTATATATATTATATTATATATATATATTTATTCCGATTCCGATAAGGGCTCATTTTAAAGTGAGAACTCGTGAGGACACCTAAAAAATTGAAAAAAAAATCTAAAAAAAATACAAATCATAAAATCGAGCATAGTACTATATCCGGGAGAAAAAATAATTGGAAAAAAAAATTTGCATCATTAAAATTGAATCATGGATCATAAAAATGATCCATGCTTCAATTTTAATGATCCAACTTTTTTTTTCTCCGATGTAGTACTATGCTCGATTTTATGATTTTGTATTTTTTTTAGATTTTTTTTCAATTTTTTTAAGGTGTCCTCACGAGTTTTCACTTTAAAAAGAGTCATCACCCAATCTTGTTTATATATATATATATATATATATATATTAATATATATATATATATATATATTATAACTCAAAATTATGGTCATTTTATTATTTTTTTTAACATTGAATTAAAAATATTTTTAGACTATGTTTAACGTATTAGCTGTTAGCTGGAAAATTAGTTGATAGCTGAAAAGCTAACTGTTAAATAAAAAACTAGTTGATAGCTGAAAACTAACTGATAAATAATAACATTTGGTAAAACTATCTGAAAAGCTAGCTGAAAAATATAAAATAACATAAAAGGACATTTAAAAGAATGTGTTTCTATGATTGATTAAATGTTATATTTGAAAAAAAAAATTAAAAAAACTCTTAAAAAGCTGGTCTAAGTAGCTTTATAAAAAACTAGCTTATGTCCTACTTTTTGACTTGCCAAACATAACAACCTAAAAAATGAAAAATAAGCTAACTTATCAGCTAGTGTGACATGCCAAACACAACGTTCATGGTAAAATTTTCATATATGCAATCTTTATAATAGTTTTATTCATAATATGTAACATTTTCTACATTCAAATGCAACCTTCGTTAAGGGTTTAGTTAAAAATTATAACTTTTGTTTACGATATATGTAATCTTTATTATGATTTTATTTACACTAGGTGCAACCTTATTTACACTCACATGCAACCTTCTTTTTTAATTTTTTGACACTAACAAGACATTTTTTATGTCGATACATAAACATGTTTTGTTACATTTGTAGCATCAATTTTTCATGCACTATGATAGCTATTAATATGAATTACTAGCTCAATTACACTTTAACAATAATAACATAATTATCATTGATAATTTTACGGTGTACTTTAACATATATGTCCAAAGACAAAACAACAATCATAAATCATTGTCACCATAAAGTTGTTAATTACAATCATAATTTTTTTCTTCAGAAACTCCTACACTTGTCATTTCATTCATGTAAGATGGTAGTTTAGTATAATGATATTTTTAACACATTGCTCATCAATCATACACTCCAAAACAATGTAGCATGCAACACATATATGAAAAATAAGTAAATCAATGAAAAACTAAAAAAGTGATGAAGCCAAACAATTACAAATACAATAAGTCAATTTTTATAACAAAAAATTACAAATAATTTGCAGTGACATACCCTAACAATTACAAAGTTAATAAAGGATA